CTTAATGGTGGACGTGTTCTGCCTATCCCCATTTTCCGATGACCCTCACCCAAATCATCAACTGAAACTGTTTGTTGCTGAACTGCGCCCAGCTGTTCTGGCCGCCTCTAGCTGAGCAGATTGTCACCTCTTTTTCCGCCATTCAAATCTGAAGTTTTTCAAACACAAAAGCGTCTCAAGCAAGAACCTGATTGTCTTACAGCAGCGTCCTAAACTGGCCAGTCAACTTTTCATGAAGTAGAAGTAATCACATCATCTAAAGAAACGATCATACTTTGTCAAATAAGTTTCTGAAGTTTTTAGGAAAGATCAACTATCTAACAACTTTCCTTTATTTTCAGTCTCAAGACAGAATATCTTTTTGGGCGAATCATCTTGCAAAACATCTTTCATTGTTTTTGGAAAGCAATCACCCATCATCTTTGTCTATTACCCAAAACTGTCATTTTTTAGTTTTTTAAAACTTTTTTTGTATTTTGTTTGTCACTTTTGTACTAATAAAGTTGTTTGAAATTAAAACTAAGTTGTACTTTTGTATCGATAAAAAAAGCCGAATAGTAAAAAAGCTCCCCAAGCTATTGGAAATATTTTCCATTTTAGTATGGAAAATCTTCCAAGCCAGCATGGAAAAATTTCCATACCAGAATGGAAAATTTTTCCATTTAGAGAGGGAAAATCACAAATTTTCCATACCCATATGGAACTTTTTTCTCTGTGTGTCGAATGTTTGCTGCTGTACGATTGTGTGTCGTAACGAACGCCACCTTTCGCACTTTTAGAGGCTAGCTAAATGTACGGGAGAAACTTTTATGAACTTGGAACAGGAACGAAGCTGTAATTATTTTATTGTTACCGCTCTGAGATTGACTTGTGTTATCACAGCTCCACACTGAATCAGTGCAATTGAAGATTGTCCTTTTAAACAACAGTACTATCCTTTCATTTTCATGGTCTAGGACAAGTTAAATGTAACCGATTTGTTATGATGAGCAGTGTTGGAAGTGCAAAGAAAGCTCTAGCACACTTTTCTTTATTTACATAGTGATGTCTCCATGATAGCATATGTTACCACACTTACTCCCTTTAAGAATCTCTCAGGAAATTGCCTCATGTCAGTCGGCAAAAGGCAACGCAGCATTAATTTTGCTTATTTTTCAAGGAATTAATTTACCACCTGTTTTATTTGTTATACTCACAATATTTTTCGCTTAACAGATATGTTAATTTATTTGTTATCATAAATTGATTTTTTTTATTTTCACTTGTCTTCATCGGTAAAGTTTTTTGTGATTTGTAAAATTAAAATTGATCCTTTTTATTCTAATAAAGGCGTACTAAATTTTAAGATACATTACAATGTTTTTTTCAAAAAGCACATGTTGCGCTAAATCAGTTTGTTAATCTGTCAATCAATTGTACTACCAACTGCAAACAGTGTGCACTATGAATCACTTTAGCATTTCCATTTCCAGTAGTTGCACTACCATTAATGTGTCAATAATGCTACTGGGATACATCGAGAGCTACCACTGCCAAACACATCCCAACCAGCAGCCTTGTGCTGAATTGCGTCTTTCACTTACAAAATTATAGCTCAAATCGTTTTGTGCTTTTAAAGCTCATAAGCTGATAGTTTCTGGGAGTACTGGAGTAATGCATCGTCAGCATGGCACAGTGCATTTGTATAATAATCAATTTTGTTTCGACCTCTACCTAGAATACTTGCTCTCAGCCAACCATATTCGAAAATGTCGCCACTCATCCTCTGTACGTATTCAGCTAAATTTGCATATGAACTGAGCAGTCATCAATTGGAATGTTTGTTTCGTTCAAGCAGACCAAGCGGTGGAAAATGCCACCAGCCACTTGATACTCACTGCTTCAAGTACAACCATCAAGCTGGTTGTTTCCACAACCTCAAGCCCAGAAGTCCAGGACTCTTCCTTTTTGACACGCTTAAGTCACTTTCGTTTTGACCCAATGAACGACTACTTATTGCTAAGCCAAAATATTTTTTTGATTGTGAGGTAAGTCCCGAAGTGGCGACAAAACTTCTGACACTAAAATTGGACGCCGCTGGTAAAAAACAGCAACTTCTTTATGTTGCCAGCCATATTTCTGGCCATCAGATTTAGGTTCAGAGGCGAGGCGGTAGTCTACGTACTAACTATGCTGGCTTCTTCGGTAAGCTAAGTTGGCCTTCCTTGACATCTTATATTATTTTTCATTTCAAATCATTCTTGACAGTTTTACCATCTGTGTGACAATAGCAAGGTGAAGTACTGCCTGGTCAAGTATGAGACTCTGCAGTTTCTCGACTTTTACTGTGCAATAATGACACTCTGGGTGACCGCCATTGTTCTTGCAAATGTACCGACCAAGTGGACTTCTTCATATCAACTAGGGGGATCGGCATTTTTTGCCTTCCTTCTTCGAAACAACTCTGTCGGCGTACTTACCTTTGTCATTCCTGCTTTCTGCAGCATCTCTCTTCTCATTGCTTACTGGGTTCGTTGGAGACTGCTCGTCGCCAAAATGGGCATTGCTGATTGCAGTCGCTAATTACTCCGTTCACTCACACAGGGTCACAAGTTCTACACTGAACGACAACTGCCGACCATACTGCACACTCGCTACTTCATCGCCGCATCAGTGTTCACCTTTGCTGGCATCATTCTCTTTGCCATTCAGCAGCACAGTGCGCTTATTAGTCTATACGGGTACACACATAGTTCATGGCACGTGTGCATGTCATTAGCGATCACCTTTCTGCTGCCAAACAGAAATGGAGTTTCACTTTTCTACTATCGTGGCAAGAGATATAGTCTCGATGATAACATAACTCAACAGGACACACTCGCAAAGCGAGACGATGACTATGAGCATGGGGCCAGAGACAATATTGCTTTTCACGAAGATCCAACTACAAGACTGGAAAATATTTGTCATCACATTTAGGCACTTTAAAAATGTAACATAACATTTAATTCCGCTTCAGCTTATCTTTTGCTCAACACAATAGTTCTTTTTTATTGTAATTTTTGTAGTTTTACTTTAGGGTAATGTTTTCTATTTATTTTTTGCACACATTTATGTGAACACAAACCCGACTAGTTTTATTTTATAATTGAATTTTACTTTTTGTGCAACTTTACTCATCTGAAATAATGATCTCTTGTAATAGTGTTTTAAGAATATTTTTATAAATTAAAAACAATAAATATTTAATAGATAATCGTTTTAAATGCAAACTCAAACACATTACAATGACTAAAACAGAAAGTGCTAGTTTGTTGTGTATGTCTATGAACGGTTGCTTTTCCTTTGTGACTTGTGCTGTTCATCATTCTTTTTGCGTTCCTTACTTTTTTGGTTTTCATCCGTCGTCTTTGAAATGGCCACTTGTTTTTTCAAAGTTTTCTTTGTTGAAAAAGTCGATTTAACTTCTGATGACAACTTTGCATTCTCGGTTGATGAAGAAGACGACTTGCTTTGGCTTTCATTCGTTTTGGCTGCTTTTCGAATTGCCTCCGCTAAATTGGCATCCTTAGATTGATTAGCCGCCTTTTCCGATGACTGAATTTTACTTTTCTCTACCTTTTGTGCCTCCTTGTACTCAAGGCGGATTTGTTGCAATCCTGGCGAGTAGCGATAATCTCCAGGGCGCAAAATGTGTCCATGCGCATGAGAGCCGCTTTTTATTTGGATTAAATTTGAAGGCACAGAATTTTTCTTCAAATTGGGACTCACTTTTCCTCCAGCAGCGATACGCTCTAAAATGCTTTTATCTTGTTGATGTATATTAATTGTCTTGTCATCTAAAGAGGGTTCTTGGGTTTTTGACTTGTCTTTTTTGCTTTGACTTTTCTTGGACATTTTCACATATTATTAATGATAACTTGTATGCAAATGTGGTTTTTATTTTATAACATTTTTTACATTCAAATGTTCGACTATTTTTTACGCACTGAATTCATTCGTATTGTTCGAAGTTAATAATTTAGTTAGAGTTGTCCTAAAACAAAAAAAGTTAATGTCGTAAAAATGAAAATTAAAAAACGCAAAATACAAAAATAGATACAGTTTATTGCATTTTATTTAAGATAAAGTTTGAAATTGTTAGTTTATGCTTATTGTATTACCCGTGAAAGGAAAGACCTCTAAGAGGCATGCACTTAAACCACGAGTTGCTACTGCTGAGCGACATTTTGACACTATCAGAAGGATATCAACAGATGTTATGATAAGTGACAGCTATCAAAATTATTTGATGCATTGATTAAGTAAGACAATAATAGCTAAGGTATGCCAGGTTGCACTTTCCATTGACACTTTCAACATGCAGGTTTGTTTCTTTTTGTTTTTTCTTCCTGTTTTTAGTTAACTGATTTTTTAAACAGAAATCTAATTACGGTGAAGTCTTCACCGCCGTAACCACCTTCCGAGCCACTGAGGCTCACCAGTTGTCACTGGAGGAGGGCGACCTAGTGGAAGTTGAACAAAAAAACAGTGAACTTTGGTGGACAGGCATCAAGTTGATTGGCAAGAAAAGGGGCCAATTTCCTGCATCCCATGTTCGAGCAATTACAGGCAAAATCGAGGCTTCCTTGGCCAGCCTGGGAGTTGATGTCAAGTCAACTACCAGAAATGGGGATACTGAGCAGCACACGGGTAGACTGGGTCACTCTATTCAGGAACGAGTGGTGGCCCTTGAAGAGTACGAAGCAGAGCGAGATGATGAAATAAATTTGAAAGCTGATGACATCGTTCAAGTGATCGAACAAAAATACCCAAAATGGTGGAAAGGGTGTAACGAGCGTTCTGGCGAGATTGGCTTTTTCCCCATTAAAAAGACAAAAAGAATAGTGTTTTCTGCTGAAGACTCAAATGGTTCCCCAACAAACATTGACTTTGACTCATCTGACTCTGACTATGAATCAAATGAGGCCAACTCAAATGACTCTTCGCCAAGATCATCGCGTCTTTACAACATCCGGATAATGCAAACAGAAAATGGGGAAGACAATGGGGAGAGACACAAAGTGAAAAGTAGTCAACAGCGGTTTCTTGTTATTTGTGAACTGGTTGAAACTGAACAAAAGTACATAGAGCAGCTTCAGTTTATCTCACAGGTAAAGCTATTTAATGATAAAATATTGGCAAATCTGTTGTTGATACTTTTATATTGCAGAACTTTCAAGGCCCACTTCAGCGCAGTGGCCTTATGCCAGTTGAGGAAATTGACACAATTTTTAAGCATTTAAACTTTATCTACACTGTAAATTCGGCTTTGTATACGTAAGTTTACTAACGATTTTTTATTTTGTTTATGCTTCTACTAATGTTTTTGTGAAATGTAGTGAGCTAAACAGTCAAGTCAAAGCAGAAGAAGATCACAGTGAAAATTGCATTGGCGCCCTACTAAAAAACCATCTTAAATTAATGCTGCCAGCGTATCGAGATTACTGCTCAAGCAATATGGTATCGCTTTTAACTAAAATTGATGGAAATCAAGAGTTTGGCGCCGAACTTGAAGAAATTGCCGCTCAGCAAAAGTCTTATCAAACCTTCAAAATGGGAGCTCTTCGACCAATGCAGCGAATAACAAAGTACCCTTTGCTAATTGACAAAATTCTCGAGTTTACACCGGCTGAGCATTCAGATCAAGGGGACTGCAAAGAAGCACTTGAGTGCTCAAAAGCTCTTTGCGAAGAGATTAACAAAATTTTCGATCAAGCTTGCGTAGAGTATGAGCCGTTTAAAAAATTATTCTGGCTACAGAAACACGTTACTCTGCCACATAAACAAATCGATCAAACAATTGACTTCAATTCAGAGACACGTTTTCTCGGTCCCCGCACGCTACTACATTCTGGAATTTTGTTCAGCAACTCAAAAATGCTATTTGCTTTTCTTTTTAATGATTTCTTTCTATTAGCTACTGCAAAAAAAGAAAGTTGTTTTCCGGGAATGAAACGAGATCAAATTCCTGAAACAATCAATTTATTTGATCATGCACAAACACGAAATTCTAGATGCACCCTCTACAAAAAACCATTCGTTTTTGATGACCTAAATATTATTGAGCTGGATGAAATGGAGGCCGCCAATAGTCCAAATTCTTTCAAAATTGAAGTAACTTCGCTGAAACGGCAAATCTTATTACGCGCTAATTCGTACAGCAAATGGGTTGGATGGCTCGAACAGCTTAGCAAAGCAAAAGAAGACTACAACAAAGCTAAATGCACTTTTGAACGAGTTGCCGAGTTTCACCCAAAAGTACCAGAGCAGCCACCAGTTGCTCAGCTAAGCCTCATTAACTTGGAAGCATTTCAGTTGTACACACGAAATTGTAAGAAAGTAGATTGTTATTATTCTTTAAATCTAATTGCTTTTTTCATTCTCCTTGTAGACGCTATGAATGCCTACTGTAAAGTAGCTATTGGCAAGGACTGGTCATCTGCTCATCAACAGTTGACCACTAAAACTTTCAGGCGAGTTATGGATTTTAGAAAAATAAACACTCCGGCAAGTCGAAACAAGTCCATTTTATCGAGTATTTCTAAATTAGCCAGCGGCTGGACTCAAGCTGGTGACTTTACGGATTTAAACAATCCACATCGGATTTTCTGGGAAACTGATGCTCTAATTGACATAGTAGACAATGAAGACATGCTTTTTATTCGCTGTTATGACGACAGTCCTTTTGCACCTCATCAATTTCTTGGAGAAGCAAGCATCTCAATTGGAAGCTTCATCGAAGAGCGAAAAATGAGTAGTGGTGTGATTACAAAAGGAGTTGAGCTGCACCTACCTCTGGATTTACCTAGTGCCTATTTTCTGAAAAAACTAAACATAAAGCCTTGTTTGTTAGTTAAATTTGAGGTAAAAACCGTGAATCCAATTGTCAGTGACGAGGAAACAGACGAAGACAAAGAAACAGAAAAGGGCATAGAAATTGAAGTAACCAAAGAAACAGAAAAAATTGAAGAAGCTGACGAATCTTAATTTTGCAAAAAGATTTCCATACTAAAACCTTATTAATATTTTAAAAGTTTTTTAATAAGTAAAATGGTTTTTACCAGCATACTAAAAACTTGAGACTGTTAAAATGCAGTGACATGTTTTAATGTTAGATCAATTAGACTGAATCGTGTTATAAAGAATGCAAAGTGAGAAGAAATAAGTACAGTTCATGACAGTTTTACCCCCTCCCGTTACGATAAGGCCACTACCATCAAGCAAATGGTAAATGGACTGTTGCTCAGTAGCATTAACAGGCAACAGCAAGGAACACAACTGCCAGCATCTGTTAACCTGTTTTTGCTTCTTTAGGTTATCATCACCACTCATCTTTAGAGAGAATGTGTGAGAGCCTAGCCTTAAACTAATTGCCAATGCGGGTCAGTCTGCACACTTTTTTTGTAAGTTAATAGACTGGTGGATAGTACCGCAGTGCACAGGGTGAGCTCTGTTTAACTTGAAAGATGAACACAACGAGTTGATGTTTAGCAGACAAATGCAGTAAAAAAGATGTTCAAGGCATTTAGCAGTAGTGTTTTCTGTACCAGAACAAAGTGGAACAGTTATTTGGTAGATTTGAATGAAAATATTACTATCTGTGCTATCAGTCAATGCAAAAGTTATTCGATGCCCAGTGTTTGGTTGTATTGAGCCTATTGAAGAAGGTTTCTGGTCGATTGACAGCGCAACAGTACACTGTAAACACATGCAAATGCATATGGTGTCTTGTAGATGAATCAAAAGACTACTCTGCTTGCGTGAAAACATAAAAAAAATTGCCTGCCATTAGCCCTAATTGATCTTGTGTCGAACATTACGATTGATCATGGTCATTGAACCGGTAATGAAAGTCGTGCGCCGTAGAGCGCTGATGGGCAAGTGATTGCGCTAAGTAACGGTCAGCTGCGAGTGGTCACTTTGTTTGGTAAACATGTTTGCGGACATTTGCAGCAGTGATGCCCATCAGCAACGATTCAAAGAACATCTGATTGACGTACACTCATCAACTCAATTGTATTTCTCAATGTTTGTTTGAATTGCGCCATCGTCTTCTCTGTCACCGAAAAGGTGAGGAGCGATTACCAGTGTCTAACGGTAGAGGGGCACAACGGAATCACCGACTTCAAGACACTGCTTAACTGATGGACAAACTGTAGACCAGTAATCACGAAAGGTACTAGCTTGCCGTGATTGCTCATGCCAACGCCTCAAACCGCCGCTTGACAGAGAGAAACGTATAATGTGCATTCGAACGGTCTGATCTAACGGTCAGTGTTTTGTTTCAGCGCTGCCTCTGCTGCCAAAGGAGCCACCACGAGGCAAGCACCGCTGTTTAGGCACTGCTGTCCTGAGAACCTCCAATTGAGCGGCTCAATCAGCGGATTCAGTGGCAGTGCACTGTGTCTTGCGAATCGCGATTGGCCAACTGGCGACTGGTTCAGGTTTCACTTCCTTGTTCAGTAGACAGACAGACGAGCGCTCAGCAAGTGGCCATTTGCCCGACGGTACTCTTCTGGTGGTGGTGAGGAGAGAATGAGAGATAGAGAGATAGAGAGAGAAAGGCAGTGAGAGACACCGGAGTAGCACCGACACAGGTAGCGGTAGGTCACCCGCATCTAAATCATCGACCTGCCACACAAGTGCAAGCAGTGCTCGTCTGACAAGTCAGCCAGTGAACTACTACTGCTTACTACTACCACTGCAACCACCACTACCACAGCCAAAGTGCCCCTTTCTCCCTCATTCCGCTGCTGCAGTAGTCACTGGTCAGCGCTTAGAGAACCTGCAGTTAACTGTAAATGCGAATGAGGGAGAGAACCATGTGAGCTAATGAAAAGTCTGCCGATAAGGAGAAGGCAGGTTGAGGCAATTGAGGAGGAGTGCATTGCCGACCAGCATCGCGGGGTCACCTGTTGATCGAGTGAAAAGTGCGCTGCATTCGCCAAAAAATTGCTCAAAAATGGCCACAACACAACAGGTGACACTCGGTGCCAACGAAAGTCCTCCTGTTTTGTTGGCGGAAAAAGTCGGCCAGAGGAAAAGCGTACCGAAGCCTATTAGTGCACGGGTTATGCATTTAGGCAACCAAGAGGAACTGCTCCTTTGCTTGCTCTTTTCTACTTGCCAAAGGCGTACCTAGGTGCTGAATTATTCACAACACTTGGCCTTACACAAACATAGCCATATCTGGTGACTTTTGTCTATTTTCAGACGACAACAAACTTTTCACTTGCCATAAAGATTGCCCAAAAACAATCGATAAATATTTTTAGTAACCTACCTACTAGCGTAAACTGTTGTGAAAGATTTTTCCGCTGATTTTGTGAACACCGTTCAGCAGTGTATCAATCAGTACACTGTCTATTTAACATTTTAACAGTTAACAGGAGTCACACTAGGGTGAATTCCGGAAAGCAAGCACACAATACATTGAGCACTTGGTGAAATCTTTTCAAACAGAAACCGCCTGGTCGATGGTAATTGTCGTGGATTGCAGTTCGATGGCACATCAACAGAGATACCAAGAGCATCAACAGAAGCAGCAGCAGCAGCAGCAACAGCTAGAGTGAGCCGCATTCCGCACGCCTTCCGTTTCTTGGCCGTCTACTGTGTTTACTGTGCAGAGTCACCTTTCAGCAGACAGAGTGGTCGGCCAGATGAGGCAGTTCTGTTGGAGGCACTTCGAACGCTTCGCTTGGCACCGCCGCCACCGTTGCTGTCGCCTGCTCGAAGAAGGCTGCTAAGGAAGCCACCAGTGATTTGAGGAAACCAGTTTCTTCAAGTGGTCGCCATCCGTCGACGCCGTCCTCTTCGCGAGGCCCGTTCTTCCTTTTCGGCCACAGTCTCGCTGTCTCGTTCTGTGACCAGTCTGCAATTTTAGAAGTGTCAGCCGTTTTCAACATATTTTGTCTTCTAATCCACTTTTTTATCAACGCATATTCTTTTTATAATATGAAATTTGTTTACAGACTAATTATCTTTTTTCTTTTTGGTGTAACAGTGTAGTTTAATAATATTGCTCATCTGTTTTCTTTAACCAACCTTATAGCTAACTCTACTTACAGGTTATTACTGTTTTTCCGTCAGCACAACCGGTACATTCTTTGCATAACTCAAATCATCTTATCAAAGTGACCACCAACAAAAATGTGATACTTTAAATTTTAATATATTTTTCAAAGCCAAAGTGATCCAAAGTTAGCTAAACTACCAAAAAATTACAATGAAGAGAAGAAACAAATTGTTCCTGCTCAATTACAGGAAACATTGTGTTAATGGGCACAGTGCGACTACAGAAGCAGTAACCAACTCAACGCAATGTCAAAGTTTGCAAAGCCACCACTTAGACCCACCAAAACCCAAACACCAGTCATCTCGCATTTCTCACATCATTTCATCATTTACTGTTCATTATCTCACCTTAACTTTCCTTGTGACATATTTCGCACTTGCCACCGCCCAATCACACACTGCCCAAAGTTGGATATCCACCTTACAGACCTCAAACGAACCAAGGTGGACCACAAATTCGGTGGCAGACTCAACAACTTCTACCCCAGCGCTCATTGAGTCATTCAGCAGCGCCAGCTCATCACATGCACACCCTTCATCTATTGTAAATACAACAGGTAAGTTTTTATCGGCCGGTAAAAAAGTGGTAATACAGTAGAAATACTTCAAAGTAGCATTGTCGTCTACCACCTGCTGTCTAATTTGTTTTCGCCGTCTGTTCAGGTCAATGGTCTCTGGTTCAGTTGAGCTAGTGCAAGTAGGGAAGAAAGCAAAAAAGCAGCTAGAGGGACAAAAACTTGCATATCGTTACAATTTAGAGTGTGTGGCACGTCTGCCACTGCACAGAATGTGCTAATTCAGCTGACTACTGTTTGATAATTATAGATTAGATGCGCCCAGTGGCGTACTTTCTCAACCGCAGTGCATTGTAATCACAACGGCGACGTGATTTACCGTGTTGCAGGCAGTACAACACACAACACGCGCAAATGACAATGCCCATCTACTTACTGTTTGCCTAATTGTCCGGTTAATTTTTCATTTCTGGCAATTCATTTTCACTGTCTCTCCTCGGCACGTTGAATGAGTTCACAATGAGTTTGCAGTAGGATCACACAAACTAGAGATCTAATGTGATGGCAGAGCAGCGCAGGCACTGTTGTTTGCTCTAAGACAGCATTCAGACGACAAGTCATTGGTGTCATCCGGATGTGTCTGGGCGCTTTGTCAGGTTGGCACACTTCAAAGTCAGTAAAGGCTATTCTGTGGAGAGCAGTCGTTTCACTTGCTATTCAACTTGTTACGTTTTCTCTTCACCTGTCATCATCGTTTTCTTCTCCTTTCTAGACCATTCAAATGCTAATCATCAAAATAAGACAGAAGAAGAAAAGAATCATCGCAGCTCATCACAACGCGACCCAATTAGCAGGTCAATGCCTTTAGCCTCAAAACGCCCTAAATCTTTGCCAAATCAATCACAAAGGCAATCAAAATTGGGCGAGGAATTTCCCATCGGGTCATCTGGAGAAACGCTGCCGGTTGAAAAACGGAGTGAACGCATTTCGAGTGGCTCAAGTGGACCAGCAAAGCCGAAAGGGCCTGGAAATCAGCCTTCTTCAATGGATGACATCATTGGTGGACTGCTTACTCTTATGGGTGGAAACATGAAACTTCCTCCTGGTTCACAACAACCTCCCACTAGCGGAAACAGTGCTTCAGATAAACTGAGTCATTTGCTTGCAAATTTAGGAGGAGTCCAAAAAGCGCGACCGCCTCAAAATGCTCAACGACCGCTTATTCCTCCGTTTAGCTCTTTACCAAACTTGAACTTGGCAAAACTGCAAAACCGACTACCAGGTGTCCATCCCGGTGGCAATCAGTTTCAAATGCCTCCTGGAAATCAGTTTCCAATGTATCAAAACTTTCCTTTTATGCCTCTCATGTCAACAGCTTCTGGAGGAAGACCAGCCATTCCTCTTGGTGGAGCTGTGGGCGGGAATGCTCTTCCAAAGCTTCCGCCAAATTTACCACCAATCAATGGCATGACCAGAGCAGAGATGGATGCTCTTTACTCTCAGTTTATGAGTAGTGGAGGCCCAGACAAGGCTGTTTTGATTTCTAACTTGCTGAAAATGGCAGAAAGTAAACCCTTGCCACCTGGTCTTCAGCTACCACCCGGATTAATTCACCCATCAAAGCCAATGACGCAACCAAAAACGCACATTAATAGTGGACTTCATGAGGTTTCGACCGTTCAGTCCACCCTGCTAATGAATACCATGCATCCAATGACTGACCCATCACCAGGCAACCGAGTACAATACACAAACTCAATAGCCAACGAAGAAACGCCACAAATAATCACAATGGCCGAAGAGCCTAGTATCTTTGAAATGGTAGTCAAACACAAACTGGGACCAAGTGTGCTGCCTTCGAGTAGTGTCATTGCCGCACAAATGACTCCTTCAGTGGCACCTTCCATTAGGCAGTACATTCGTCCCAGTAAACCAGTTGATTCTTCAAAAGCTACAGTAAACTTTCAGACTAATCCTCAAGACGTGGTCGTTCAGGAGATTCGCAACCAACATGGTCACCATGCACCAAAAGAGTCTACCCAGAGTTCCTCCTCGTCCAAAACTGACATCGTCTATGGGAAACGCATTACAAAGCCGGCACACAACAACAACAACATCCAGCACAGCACCACCCCCTACCTGCAAAGCACACTGATGCCATCCTTCAGTTCAACAGCCCATATGGCGCCCAGTAAAACAGCTCACGATTTCGGTCCCAGTATTAGTCAGCCGGCCCCACCGAGCAGCAGTGTCTTCGGCAAACCCATGGTAGTGCCAGTTGAGGTGGATGATGGCGTTAGACCAAAGGTCGGCAGAGGGGGCGTCTCAACTGCAGCCATTCTGCCCACTTCTTCGATGATCGATCCAACTCGAACGCTGGACGGTACTCGAAACGTAGTCAGCAAAAGTACTGCTTCCTACCTGCCGACGGGAAAGGGAAGCAGTACTTCGGGTGCATCACAAACAGCCAAAGTTGGAAACAGTAAGGCAGGCATTCGCGATCCGCCTCCATCTTCTGCTAAACCATACGTTCGCCGGCCTCAGTTTAGGCCAAGGCCAAACGTGCCCATTGTGCGCATTGACACGTGCATCGTCGGTGATGACTCTACTTGCGACATTTCTCTCAATGAAAAGTGCCTAACTGAGCTTGGTCTGAGCTCTTGTCAGTGTCGTCCGGGTTTTGCGCGTATTCAGCCACGAACGAACTGCATTCCAGTGCTTTCTCTATCGCTGTCATTTAGAATTGACAAAATGAATGGCAACAAGGTGCAGTTTACAAGACCATTGTTGAACTCAAACACCGAAGAGTACCAGTATCTCGAATATGAAAGCATCATTGCGCTGAACTCGATGTTTAGTGCCACCAAGACACTGGCCACTGAGCTCATGGGCGTGAAGGTGAATCGGTTCTATTCAGTTGGCGGGAAAACGATTGTCAACGCCACAGTAAACCTGCGAGCTGAGTCCAATGAGACTGGCAGCACTGCTGTGATCACGCCAGGCACCATCAAACGAACGCTGCAGCAGGAGTTGATGCAGGTAATTGCGTCCACTAATAACCAACTTGGAGACTCTCAACTGTGGGTAGACTCAAACTCCAATGCCATCACTCGAATCGATGATCTCAACGAGTGCTCCAGCGCTGATCATCACGACTGCTCCAAACACGCTCGGTGCTACAATGAGTTTGGCTCTTTCCGCTGCGAGTGTGAAACGGGCTATGAAGACAAGTATTCGGAGGATAAGCACAAGGCCGGACGACACTGCGCCTCTTGTTCCCCGTCACACTGCTCCAACCGGGGCGAATGTCTCATCGTGCGCGGAGAGCGAGTCTGCAAATGCAGAGCCAACTTTATCGGGGCTCAGTGTGACATTGACGCAGAAGTTTTAGGCGTTGCAGTTGGCGGATCTATTGCTGCCCTCATCATCATCATCATCACCTTCATCTGTTTGTACATGTGGAAGTATGTCTTTTTTGCAACTATTTTATGGATTTTAGCACTAACTATTAAAACTATTTTTTTAGTCAACGGTTCAAGCAGGAACAGCAAAAAATTGAGGCGATGTCTGCGGCGAGTGGTCACACTTTTAGCTACGTGAACAAGCATGGCCCGCCGACCATGTCTCGCATGTCAATTGATGAGCGCTACGGCCGCTCCTGGGCCACTCACTACTCTGACTCGCAGCAGCATCTACTGGCCACATCAACGGCTGGTTCAGGCAACTCAAACAGCACCAGCAATGCTTTCTACGGAGTGGTAAGTCCTTCTAAACTTCCTGATGTGAGTCGTTCTTTCACAGTACCCTTTTCTTTTTCAGGCTTCAGAGCATCATCAAGTGGGAGGACAGCCAGTGTATGCCACTCCAGTGAGAGTGATCGGACAGAACGGAGGAGGCACCTCCAACAACGGCACGGCAACCCTTGGCCACGACTCCTATGAACACCAGCAGATCCCCTACCCAGACTATGCGCCCTCAGTGCGAAGTGGAGCTCGCTCCTTGAAAGGAAAGCCAACGAATTCGACTGGCACAACTAGGCAAACTAACCTGAGTGGGCACCACAGTTTGCACTATCCATCCTACGCAATGGTAACTGCTTTACTATTTCAATCTTTTCATTATCAGCTTATCATCCAATTACCCTTTTTAATTTGAAACACAGAAACTTGCACCCGATTCGTACAACGAAACTGAGTTCTCTACCCGTGAACTAATATACTCACCAGCTCACCTATATGCTACGAATCCGCGCTCAAGTCATGGTTTTTACTCCTAAAAGCTTTACTACATTAACCAAACAAAAAATACCAAATGGCCAAAGAGTATTATATATTTGTAAAATAAAGTTTGAGCCGACCCAGTGGTGAGTCAATATTGCTGATGAGTAGAAAGGGAGGATTGTAAGAAATTGAGAAACACTAAATGTTTTTGTCCAGAGCTGGCAATCGCCTGCTTAAGTACGTTTCTCTTCCTGTTCCCCACTTGCTGCAAACAGTTTCGAGTAGAACGAATGATTGACGCCGTGAGTCACTTTCAAGTGCTCTTTCGCCTTGACGCCAAACTCAAGCAGGTCTTCTTCAATCTCATGTCCGCTGAGGCTCGCAACAGGTGCGACAGTGGTTGCAGCGACAGCATTCTTCGTCGCCGATGAGTTTTCCTGCTGAGAAGGGGGTTCCTGTTCACTGAATCGATGCTGATTTACTAGAACAAAACGCAAAAACTCGCGATAGTAGAGGGAAAGACAAGGGTGATATCCAGCCTCTTTGTAGTAAGCTTCCTGTAGTTAGCAGAGTATAAAAGAGCGGTATTTACTAAAAATATAACACTTTTCAACTGGTGATTCTTTCAACAAACCTGCAATCGCAGTCGCTGTTTGTAGAAACGATACAGCTGACTCCAGTTGATGTCACTCGAAGTCTTGTTGAAGGGAGCATCTATGTTCGAAGAGTTGGTCTGCAGCATTGAATCAATGAGTCTATTGAGTACATCAAAGGATTTGTAGTTTATTCCTGCGTCAAACGCCTTTTCACTGTTCAATGTCTCTGAGCATCCACGAGAGCATGCACAGGTGAAAAAATAACGATCTGCAAGTATGCTCTGTCGTTCAACACGGGGCTGTATGTCTTGCAGGTAGTCAATGTATATTTGCTCGCCTTTGCAAATTGGCGAAAGCGCTCTTATTTCCAGTAACATGCCATCGCCGGAAGCACAAGCGTTCGGCACACAACTGTGGTCAAAGACGGAAGCCTCGATGTATAGGGCGGAACCGCAATGGTCGATCTGAACGTCAGTTGCATTGTCGGTGACTGCCGAATAGTAAGAGTCGATTCCAAATGAGTTTACGTGCAGCTAAGAGGGTAACAAAACATGTACTGATGAGCTTGTTATTCTTCTAATTGGCCAAACTAGAAACTTACCAAACCGTAAGCGCGCAAAAGAAGATCATAATCATAATTTTCAATTTTGTAGAGTTTAAAGTAGTTGAGTATACCTTGAAACTGGGGCGTGTCCTGAAATGTCATCAATTAGCAGTAATCACTCGATAAACCATTTGCAAACATCTCAAATCGTCATTACCTTTAACTCATTGGAGTGACATTCCATGTCATCAAGTCTGCGGGTCATGCCATTATGCAGTCGATATTCTCGTGTTCGCACTTCCGGCTGGTTTATCATCAGTAGGACTAGCCTAAGAGTTAGCCGTTGCATGTAATCAAAGCCTTTGCTTTCAAACCTACATCAGAAGAAGTACCATTAGTGATGGTGAACTGAGTGTTACGGTGACAAATCCTACTACTCACTGCAGCTGCTTCTGTCGCGAGAGAATGGGACACTCCAGCTGGTGGATTGAATGGCTGTCCTGGCACTGTCGACTGCAGTAGTACACTTTGCGACACTTCGGACAGACAATGGTGCTGTCCACTTTGCGCATACAACTGTCGCAGGTGAAAAGGCGGTGTTCATACTTTGTAGTTGCCACTAAGGGCATTCTACATTCGACGATTATGTCGCCCGGTTCATAGTTTCGGTCGGCCTGGGCGATTGAGTCGGCCATCGTTTTTTCGGCAAAGTGATCGGCACTCACTCTTCTTCACTTGTGCACCGCTGATGCTGCAGCAGTAAGTTTAGTGAATAGCAGGAAGAATAGTATACACACACTGAGGATGCGAATGAAATTCACGCCAGTTCGTCGACTAGCAAGTGCGGTGCACTACTATTATTCAGTGCACAACTTAATAAAAAAGTCTATTTTTAGATACCAGCTCGCAGAAACTCCAGATTTAGAATGCCTTCTGAAGTGTGTCTGAAGCTGAGAAGAGTCTCAGAGTGAGGACGACGGGAAAGAATGTAAAAAGCACACGACTAGGTCAGTAGAAAAAGGTCACATTTTACTGGGTATCAATCGGTACAGAATGCAGATTAAAAGTAAGCAGTATCTTCGGTGAAGGCAGTCGCTATGCGAAAATCCTTTTTCGGGCTAATCAGGCAGTAAAGGCGCTGAGAGCTGGGTCGAGAGTAAGGCGCTGGTCTGGCGACTGTCTGCGTGCGAAAGATGAACTCTTTGCCAGTTGGTGCGGGCAGTTGAGGAACCGAAAAGACGAGACGCTTTTTTTGAGTAGTGACTTCTTCCGACTCATCAGACAAACTGTGGTGATCTGGCTCCTCCGAATTGAGCCCAACGCGATCACCGACACTGGTTGATGACTCGTACTGAAACCGACTGCTATCTGAAAACATGCGTACCACAAGACTGGATATACAGTTAGAGCTGGAAAACTCTACATCAGGCTCGAGCAGTAGTCGAGTAACAAACTTAATGAGGTCGTCCTTTTGAAAGGTACCTAAAATTGCGCTTCCCAGTTTTGTAGCTGATTTTAAAGTTGTTCCACGGTTTGAGGCGGTTCGAGAATCGGCTTGCTTCGCTGCTGTCGTCTTTTGAGCAGAGGTGTACAAATCCTTAAATGGCTTTTTAACATCAGACTCGTAAGCAAAGATGATTTTTTTGAGTAAAGAGTAGAACTTGACCACTTCGAATTCAACTGTAGAGAGCTCTAAACATAAGCCATCATAATCACCTCGATTGAATTGAACTTCAAAGGAGTTAAAATCAAAAGGTAACAGCTCAACAGTGGTAGCTTTAGGTTCTGAAATGTTATCGCTAACAAAGTCGAGAATCTCTTGACGAAATTGTAGAATTTGTATTAGCGTTGCCTTTGCCAGTATAGGGCCAACTAGTTCAATGAGCTGGTTGACGGTTACATTTTGCAGCCAGTGGAGAATTCCCTCTGCCTCTTTTGTGTAGTCAAACAGTCTTTTCTGTCTAGAAATGGGCACTTGACGTGCTAGTTCCCATATTTCTCCCCACATGGTTGATTCACGCATCCGACGACTCAACCCGAAACGGGGGACAGCTTTTTTGTTACTACCTTTGGACGACTTTTCATGGTCCTCAGTGTCTAACTCAATCCAATCACGGGGTGAGTGCCACCGAATAAAATCCTCAAAAGTAGCACCCGGATTGGCTGCTTTGAACGCCTCCATGTCGGAAAGCAAACCCGATGATTGAAGGCGAATTTTGAGTTTTACATCTTCAGGATTGTTGCTCATCGCGGCAAGTGTCTGCATCTGACGGTAATGATGATCTTCAGTCATCGGGGCTGGGTCCTGCGTCACAGGAATGTATATTGGTCGGTTTGGTTTCTCCAACAAGTACACTACGTTTTTGGATGAATCAGTAAAAACTTCCAATTGCCCTTCAGGTTTGTCGGCATCAGTGGTCGACTCAGGTTCGTCTTCAGGACAATCGAAAAACTCATCTTCATCATCCTCATTTCCGTCTTTTTCAGATAACTTGTCATCAAGTTTTAAGCTAGTAGTGCTCTTTTGTTCCCTTTTATTTTTTTGCTGAATGCAACAGTTGAGCATTTGCAGTTTTTGATGAAAAAGACAGTTTCCGTAATCAATGCTCTCTGTTTGCTGGGCATCTATAAATGGCAGTAGTTGACAATTCTTCCAATGTGAGCGTAGTCGTTCCACAAAAGCACTCCATATGGCAGACACTGTAGATATGTTTTTCTGCTCGGTAAAAGAGTTGGCCAATAAAAGGGAAATTCGCCAAGAAAGTGAGCCCACAGGTGATGATTTCAGTTGGGCGCAGTTGGGATTTTCGGAATCGTCCTCAAGTCCTTCAGAAGCAGTCTGTTCAAACAAAAACTTTACACTGTCGTCGGCATTTGACAATTTTGCACCATCAGACGCAAAGAAATTCTTTTCCAACTGTCCAAAAACATTTTTCTGAACGTTAAACAGCTGATTTGATATCTGGTTAGAGGGAGATGCCAATCGGTCAAGTGCAGAACGAACGTCGACGTCAGAAGGATCGCTGCTTTCGATTTGCTGGCCACAAGCTTGTAGCAATGCTGATTTGTACTTGTAGCGCAAATTGATGAAAGCATAAAGCCATTCGGTAGTATGGCACAGTACAATGCTCGACTTTTGTGATTTAGGATCAAGAAATAATGCTCGAAGAGACCACTTGGGAGCACTTCGTGGCTGTAGATCACTGTGAAATTCATTGTCCGTTATCAGCTCTTCAGACACTGAAGGCCAAGTGGTAGCCAACTGTAGCTGCTTCAGTGGATCAGCGTACTGGTTGGCCACTAGCTGAAAGCTGATTGGCCGGAAAAGCAGCTCGAAAGGTTTGAAATCCGCCCGAAAGTAAACAAACTGCTCCAAGGCAGGATGATTAGGCGCATTGCCATTGAATTGAAGATACTGTGGCGGCCAAGCTGATAAAAGGTAGGTAAATCTGATTGACATTCGAATTTTAGATTGCTCAATGGGAGAATTTGCTGGGGAAGTCTTTTCACGGTGCACTGAAGAATATGAAAAGATGGGATACAACTTTTTCTTAAACAGAACCATCAAATCGGAAAGGTACTGGAAAGATGGAGGCACATCAGAAAACTGGATCATATCAAAATACGTTCGGTAGCCGTTGTTGATATTGAGAACACCAGAAAAGAGACGACGACTAGGCTGGCAGATTTGACAAAAGAAAGGCACTTCACAGTTGATATTATTCAAGGCAATAGCAGAAGAGCCGAGTAAGTGGCGAATCCGATCTTCGGTGTCAATCGTCTCGAGCTTCAAAGGACAGAGTACTATAAACTGACTGAAGCCATAGTAGCGAACAAGCGGATGCCCAGAGGCTGGCCAATCATGGTCAATTGAGTTCATTTCTCGCCAAGCTCGGTTTAGTGGGCGCATTGACTTTGATGATGGTGGTCTTTCGGTTGAAGTGCTTTCAAGTTTTTCTTCAGGCTTTGCATTTTGAAAGGTGTAAAGCGTCAGTGTAAAGGCCACTTTGCCAAACTTGAGCTGGTCTTGCTGTTGTGTCCACAGGCTAGGGTCAGAGAAAAGCTTTGAGGAGGCTGTAGTGGTAGATGCGCCCTGTTGTTTAGCACCAATTTTATCACTTTTGGCGTCATCTTCCTCAAGAGAAAGATCATCATTTGCTCCACCAAGGTTCCATTGTGTTAGTATTTCCTCTAAATCGGCAATGAATCGTTCCCAGTCCGAAGAAGTGCTAAAGTCATTGATCTCAAACACATCTTCTTCAGACATTGTCGCATCGGCCTTTTACTTCTGACAGCTGGATCTGCAAGTAAAATTAATGATATTTAGCGTCTCTAAAACATTACAAACTTGCTTACGTTAGAAAAGAAACTGCTTTGAAAGTTCAGTCGTGTTTTTAGCTTTGGTGCTTTGTGTACACTGTACAGCGTCACAGCTTTTATCTATCGGAAGAGTGCATGGCGCAACCTGGTGGCAAATGTAGTCCAAAAGATTCCGTTCAAATCAGCTGATCTTGACACCCCGAAAGCGGCCAAACAAGTTTTCCCTTTGGGTTGATGACCAACGATGCAAACTGCCGTTTAAGGAATCTTTTATCAAGCTCAAAGTTTAGCAGGCTGACAAGGTTTCAAGCATTTTTGTTTAGCTGTAAAGATGAAGGCATTCAGAATAAAATCTGTGCCCAATTTTTGTTTGCTCATACTCACATTTTGCTACCTGCTCCAAAGTAGCATCCAGGAAGGTTTGTATTTGGTGTTTGTTTACCGATTTTTCGTTATAAAATATTTTTACATACTTATAGACCTTATCGACGATCAGCGAAATGATTTGCCGGTTGAAACCATCACTGTTGAAGATGATGTTTACGTTTTAGATCAGTCCAATTATGACAGCTTCATTGCGACTCATCGAGTGGCTCTTGTTGCCTTTCTCGGTTAGTAACAAATCAATCTGACAAGCAAGTTAAAATAAATTTTTAATTGTGTTTTCTCATTTAGCAAGCTGGTGCGGCCACTGTACAGCTTTAAAGCCAGAGTATGCTGCAGCTGCAAAAATACTTAGCGAAGATAATATCGCACTGGCAAAGATTGACGGACCAAAATATTCTGATCTCGCCAAATCTCATGACATTCAAGGATACCCTACAATGTTTGTCTACCTCAACGGCACCAAAATTGAATATGACGGTCCGCGAACTGCTCAAGGAATCGTCGATTACATGCGCTCAGTAGCTGATCCAAACTACAAACCACCTGAAGATTCGGTTTTGACATTAACCGAATCGACTTTTGATTCGGTGTTGGCCAAAGAATCGCTCATTTTAGTGGCATTTGTTGCACCATGGTGTGGGCATTGCAAAAGGTATATGGAATTTCCTTGAGGTTTTTCGTATCATTAACTTAGATTTTCTGCAGATTGAAGCCCGAATTCGAGCGTGCGTCAAAGCGATTGTTGCAACTTCCGGTTCCGATCAAACTAGCCAAAGTTGATGCAACTGCCGAAAAGGAACTTGCAACCAGATTTGAAGTAAAAGGCTACCCAACAATTTTCCTTTTTCGAAATGGTGGGGCAAAACAGCAATCATACAAAGGACCTCGAGATGAAAACGGCATCGTCGAGTACATGAAATCGATGCAGAAATCTCCCAGCAAACTAATCCAGTCTCGGGAGCAGCTGCGAAAACAAATTCAAAACGACGTGCCAACTGTGGTAGGATTTTTTAATCCTTCACAAGATTCTTCGCTTTTTGATCTTTTTATAGACGTCGCATACGATCAGTTTGATGCGGCTAATCATTTTGTGCACTTAGAAGACGAAAAATTAGTTTTCGAACTGAAGCAAAAACTAAATTCAGTCATCCTTTTCGTACCCCAGTGGTTTAAAAGTAAATACGAGCCGAATCAGTATAAACTCCAGCTGGTATGTTATTTAACTTGGTAGCTTTTAAATTCTGTTAACACTTTCATTTTAGGATGATTCGAGTAGTTCTGAACAAATAATGCAGCTCATAAGAAACCACAGTGCTCCATTGGTTGGTTATCGAAATGGAGCCACATATTCTCTGTACGCTGGAAAGTACCCACTGGTTGTCGTTTACTATGATGTAGATTTCAGTTTTGATCATCGAAAGCGTAAGTAAAAACCCTTTTTGATAAAAAGTTTACTAAATTGCTTTTTTGAAATGATTTTCCTACTAGAAACTTTGCTGATTCTCGAACAAGTTCAAAAAGCGGCAAACAACTTCAAGGAACAAGGCGTGCATTTTGTAATTTCAAATGAGAAAGACAGTGAACAAGAGCTTAAAGATCTTAAACTAGAAGACAGTGGGGAGGACGTCAATGTGGCCTATTTTGCCAGTCAGAAGAGGCGTTATGCGATGGAACCAACAGACGAGTTTAATGCGGAAATTCTTACTGAGTTTGTGCAACAGGTGCGCAGCGGTGATCTATTGCCAGTAATCAAATCTGAGGTGAACCCAGCAAAAAATCCTGTTAAAAACTTATGGACAGTTGTAGGTGATACTTTTGATCAGATTGTGGTACAGCAAAAGAAGGATACTTTATTAGCGTTTGTAGCCCCTTGGTGCGGACATTGCAAAGCATTTTTACCCGTTTTGACAGAGCTGGCAGAATCGCTCACAGATGAATCAGCTAAAATTCAGATTGCTAAAATTGACGGCACGGCAAATGATTATCCCGAACAATTTGAGGTAACAGGCTTTCCCACATTGTACTACGTCTATGCTTCAAATCCGTTTACACCGACTGCCTATGATGGCGACAGATCACTTGAAGATCTGAAAAAGTTTGTTCATGACAATTTACAAAAGTCATCACTTGCCAAAGACGAACTGTAACACTTTTATACAATTTGGGTAAAACTAAATATAAATACATTTCGTTAAAATCAACATTATAACATTTTTAATAAAATAAATATTTTAAAGAAGGCGGTAAGAAGACTGTAAGTATTGTCAGAAGTTTTGTTCCAGAGAGCAAATAAGAACGAATAAGAAATGGTCAATAGAAAATGTATAAAGCAATAAATAAACAAATAATACAGTAATGAGAAAAGGAGGAGGATGGCAGCATTCAAGAGAGCAAATTGTCCGCGCTGGCTCTGCACATGAATGATAATGAAAATGTTTGGGAGAGTAATGCACTTGACATAAAAACAGATTCACAGAGGCACAGAGGCTGGGGCAAAGATCACAGCCACAGTTTGGGAGTTGATGAAAGATGGGAAGAGGGAGGCAAAGGAAAGCACTTTACAGTGATGTTACTAAGCAGGTGTGTTTAGGTTACCGTCGACAGGCACACTCGGGCAATGTTAGGCATTACAAGCTGAAGTAGATGGCAAAGCTCTGAATCCTTTTCATTTGATCTTCGCAATTTCAAAGGAGAGCTGCGAATTTGTTTATATGTAGTCGTCAATAAGTAAATCAGTTAGTAGTATTAATTAATTAGTTAAAAATAGCAATAACTCCTACTATGTACACGACAAGAAAGTGGACGCTGATATATAAATAATATAAAAAATAATAATAAAGCACATCGAAATGCAGGCGACTTCGATAACACAGTTCCAAATGGGAGGCGAATAATGATTGCAGATAGCAAATTTAAAATGAAAAGTGTCGTCCGCTTGAGAAGAGAGAGAGAGAGAGAGAATGATTGCAGCTACAGTGAATGGGGCAGATTCTTTGGCTTGAACTGAAGAGAAGAAAAGGCTAAAGCAAGTCTGGATTTGTTGTTTCGATGATGGTAGTTGTTGTGGTGGTGGTCGATGTTCACAAGATGATTTTGTTGGCTGCTCTCAGACTTAGCCAACACCTGATCACTGCTGGGTGATGGCTCTCTTTGCGTCAAACTTGATGCCAATCTTTTGGCCAATTTCATCTAAGCATGCAATCGTGTACTTCATCATCTCATCAGTGTGCGCAGCAGAAAGGCAAAATCGGGCACGGATGCCGATCAGACTAGTGACGGGAAAGGCAGCACCAGTACTGGCAATTCCCTTTGACAGTAGATTACTGATTAAGCACCTAAACAGAAAGAAAGAAAGAAAAAATAGTTAGCAAGTTGCATCAACAAAAGACTGAGAGAGTGCTATTAATACTTTAGCAGTGAAGGCGAGTAGACCATGATGGGCACAACTGGCGAGTCATCGTCACCGTCAATATGGAAACCCAGTTCTTTTAACTTTTGTCGAAAGAAGTGTGTGTTCTTCCTCAGCTGAACTATTCTCTGCTGTACATCACACATTGCCTTGTTTTGATTGTTGTTCTTGTCCATCGCCAGAAATTGGTCCAAAATATAGGATATCTGGTGCACTATTGGCCGCGCCATGGTAGTGCAGTAGTAGAAGCTAGGCGAGGACGATCGAATGTAGTCGATAATTCGTTTCGAGCCGGCAATGTAGCCGCCAGCAGCCGCGAAACTCTTGGTAAAGGTGCCCATCAGAATGTCGACATCTCTAGGATCACAGCCATAGTAGTCGCAAATGCCACGACCGCGAGAACCCATCGCACCGATGCTGTGCGCTTCGTCCATGTAGAGGTAGGCCTTGTAGCGTTTCTTTAGGCGAATCACCTCAGGAAGATTAACAATGGTGCCCTCCATGCTGTAGATGCCTTCAACAATGATGATGATCTTCTTCCACGGTACCCTACTAACTTCACCTAAACTGTTTGTCTTGTTTGGCTGACCGTACACAATGGCGTTGCGCAGTAACTTTTCCAAATGATTCATATCTGATTTAATTTAATAAAAATTGCGATCATTGTACCATATGTCAACAAACAAAAAAGGCAAACAAGGACACTTACCGTTATGCTTAAATACTTGCACCTTGGCGCCGGACAGTTTACAGCCGAGAATCAGCGAAGCATGATTGTTTTGGTCTGAAATCACCAAGCTGCCTGGTCCAAAAAGGCATGGCAAACATAGGGCGTTAGTAGCAAAGCCCATTCCAATGACGACGCTGTCTTCGACGCCCAAAAACTGTGCTACCTGAGTTTCGAGTTGAACAAATTTATCAAATGTACCTAAATAAATAAAGCAATTAATTAATTAATGGCAAAAGAATAGACAAACGGCAGACATTTTAGGTAAATAAAAGATAATGAACTGTCAAGTAGCAGGGCGGCAGTTTCCACAACTTACCTAATTCATTGGGAGAGGAGCCAAGACCGACGCCAAATTTAGGAAGCTCATCGCGAATGGCTTCGATCCGAGGGCCTTCATTTTCGGCATATCCTAAGTAGTTGTAAGAGCCCATATTGATGGCTTTAATCGTCCGACCAGTGTATCTGCAGAGTGTTGAGTAGAAGCAAGGGTCTTTTAAATAAGTACAAGGGAGGCACTCATTTGCTTACTAACTTCCAAGATGCATTGTAAGGGCCGTATTTGCGCTCGAGAATGTCAATGACAGCTCCGGGCACTGAGCTGATTGGATGACACCACATGTCGATGAGCCGGTGAATGATGTTGCGAATGTAGAAGGTGGCGAAGCTGGAGAAGAGGGCATTGTAGCCGTCGCGGTTGCGCTCCACCTTCTCGAAGCTCTGCAGCAGCCCATGTCGGCGGAGGAAGTCGTTCAGGTGTCCAAAGAGAAACAACGTACCATGGCACAGGTAGTTGCATAAGATCATGTAAAAAGGAACTTGCGGTGAGTGGGTGACTGGTGCCGGTCTGCTGGCTGGCGTCCGCGGCTTCTGCACAGACAGACACATTTCGGCAGGCAGACTGCTGAAGGCGACAATAGCCAACGTGAGAGAGAAGGAGAGGGAGAACGTGAGAGAGAGGACGGCCAAAGTGAAGGCGAAAGTGAACCACCGGCGAGGGCAGAGGAGTGAATCGGGCGCCACCATCGCCGCCGTGCACAGGGAGAGAGAAACTGACTGAGTGGGCATCGTTATTAGGACGGTCAATTACGAGCTGTCGTGTGCAGCAGTATGACTATCCATTGCGACTGCAGCAGCCCAGACGGTGGTCACCACCAGCCAGAGGAAGGAGAGGGAAGAGAAGAAAAGGGTGCAAAGTTGGTTAGTTTAGAAGAAGCAGGAGTTGCAGTACGATCAAATGAAGCAGCCCAATGGAGCAGTGCAGTGAACGGTGATACAGTGCCGGCACTAAGTTGCCGCTCGATGCAGAAAGATTAATTGGCTACGGCAGCTGCGCGCATTGAAGCCACAAGGTGTCAAAAGGAAGGAGGCGTTAATGAGAGCAAGCATGTGCAGCCGCATTCACACACACTCTCACTCACTCGTCTCTGTCTGTCTGCTTCAGTGTGGCAGTGTGGGTGAGTGTGTGTGCTCTGGTACACCATTGCATAGGTCACTGGCCAAGCAGATAAGAATGATGAATCATGCAGAGAGAGGCGTGCCCTGCTCATCGGCGTCGCCTGTTAAATAGATGAGGCCATCTTCGACCACCTCTATCTTCAGCCGGTGATGACAGCAGACCGTTAGGCTTCACTACCTGCTAAATTGTTAGTTCTTAAACTGCAGTAATCTTGGTAGTGGAAAGAAGTGTAGTAGTAGTCGTCGTAGTAGTAGGAAGAAGTCGTAGTAATATAATGCAATGCTAAATCGAAAAGTAATTGTCCCAACAGTGGCATTGCTTATCACCAGTTATGTGACTGTAGACAGGCAGACTGCAGCTCACTAATGCGATTAGTTTAGTATTTGCAAAAATGCATGGCAATTAAAATTATGACCAGCACGAGTAGTAATCCATCGGAGTAAACTTTTTTTTCTTCTTCTGTCGAAGGAAAGTAGCCAAACCCAGTTTGGTGGGAAAGAATGCTTCTAATGCAAAAGTCTGGTCATGCAGCGGAGCATTGGCAAAAGTGTGCCGCTTTCAATAGACGCCTAGCTTCCAAAGATCGGTTCCATTTGTCTGGCTGCATGCTATAGATCAAAATAAAAAATAACAAGTACAGGGGTTTATGTGGTGCAGGTGGCCGACCAACACAATAGACTGGCAGAACCGGTCCGATCAGAGTGCCAGAAAGAGTGCTGGTGCTGGCGGTACAAGTGCAATATTTCTACTGAATGCAAGCCATTCACTGTAGCCCGTGTTTCACCACACTGATGAGCAAACAAAAGTGCTCTTTTTTGCAGGCGTTGACAAAAAGAAAAAGTACGAGGCCACCATTGTCAACACTAAAGACAGAAGCATTTCAATTTTAATTAAGTTTCCTAGGATAGAAAACGATTCAATTTTAACGGCAACGCACACAGACACACATATTGTAGAGATGGGCTCAATCGTCAAAAGTAGCAGCAAAAGTGGCAGAACAAAGAATGTGACGCCCGGCTCCTAGGCAAAAAGTGTGGCACGGTCTACCGCAACAAAACAGTGCTCGACATGCGAAGGAGAACTGAGAATAGAGAATTTGGCAGGTAATGACGCCCACAGACTGATGGGAGTTTGAATGTCATGTAAAAAGAAAACTATGACAGTAGAAGAAATATTAATAATAAAGCAATTAACGATTCAGCAGTTCGATATTGGCTTGCCAGTTGTCTGGTCACTGTTGCTGAGGCCACCTCTCAATGATTCAAAAGAATGGGAACAGACAGACACACAAGCCAATTTGAATATAGTTTCTGCTATAAAACATTCAAGTGACAAATGACACTTATCAATTGCAAAGTTTTGTGATCTTAAAATTAAAAAATTCAAATAACTTACACTAAACAATAGTTTTCTTAGATAAATTGATAAACTAATTCATAAAATGCACAGAGAATCGATCAGAAAGCAATAAAAACAAATCAAAAACAAACATAAATTAAGTGCTAGGTGCGGCACAAGCCGTTTAAAATCGTGCAAACAAATGACTCATTTTAATGCAATAACCAGAAAAAGCCGGCATGCTGTCTGTGCAATATGCAGTGTGCAATTTGCGCAATGTAGGAAAGTGTTTGTTTGCACGCTTTGAGGACAATATAGAGAAACTCAAACTTACGAAAAGAAATTCAAAGTAGATATGCGATTGTCAAAGTGTTGTTGAGATGTGTGTTTCAGAAGATAGGCTGGTGGATTTAGTAGCAAGTTGATGACTGCCAGTACTGGCGAGGTTTTGGTGCTGGTATGCACCAGACAACACACACCAGTTTGCAAAAAGTGCGCTCAGCGAAATGCCAAATACGCCTGCCTTTGAGCTAATTAATCGCGCGATTGATACGGTGTACCAAGTGTGAGGTTGTACAGGCATGTATTTTATAGCATGATTGCAAAACATGATCTTTTAAAACGGCATATTGGCTGTGATGATGACCAGTGAGAGTTGATGGCACGTCTGCTCTTTACTCGACTAGCGAGAAGAAATCTGGTGACTGTGGTGTGGATTTTGCGCCATAGGAGAATTAGGCTTGGCAGACTATTTTTAGGATATAACTTTTTTTATGGAAGAGAAAAGCAACCGGCGCTCCCGCAATCAGGCAGGCAGGCAGAATGGCCGGTGCAGAATGCCGGCGTTACGGCGGCGCTACAGCGTTACAGAGGCGTTTTAAATTCTTACTTGTCTAGTGAATTCTAGGTGCGTTGATGGTGACCCGAATCACCGGTGGCAGTGACGAAGACGATGTTAGCAGTTGGTGCTTGTTTGTTTGTTGTCAGTCGGCGAAGAGACCAATTGAACGGGCAACCTTCAGCTGCAAGCACAACACCGCATGTATGGCACTTGTGCGGAGACCTGCCCAGACGCCACTGCTCCAACGGTGCTCAGCGGGAGTCTGGCAGGGGGCACATGGCGACAACTGGTACTGTTTCCAGGTGACAGGTGGTTCCAAGGGCGGCCAGGAGAGAGGTGTCAATGAGACGCACGAATCGGGTTGGCACAAAGCACAATGCACAAAGCCACGTGTGAGGATGCTTCAACAGCAGTGCACTGCAGGCGATGAACAAAAAACAAGAACTTTGGACGAGAGGGTAGTTATAGCGTTTGCGCCTTTGGCAGGACTTTTTGAAAAAAAATCTCGTCTATTTTTAAATGGTCAGTTTGGCGCCACTCTTGCGTCGTGCATTTCTTTCTCTCTCTCTCTCTTTCTCATTCGAATTCAAGCTAACTGGCCAACAGGCTGACTGGCGATTGATGGATGCACAAATTGGTCGCATGAAGACGTCAGAGCTCGGTGAGAGCGTTCAAACCCTTACGCTTAATTTCCAGCATGCAATACTGTTCGCTTATCACAAGGCAACGCAGGCACTTTTTTCACATACATGTAACTGTGACATTTGGTATAAGGAAAAAAGGAACAGGAAATAAATAAAAAAAATACATACACAAACGCAGCACAAGCACAGTTAGCACATTCTCACAGTACGCACAGTTCGCACAGGCACCGGTTAAGTCTCGGTTTGTCTGGTGACGAGCTACTCTTTCGCGTTAATCGGACAATCGAGAGGTTGGCTTCAGCAAGCAGCAACAGAGTGGAAGAAGAAGAAAAAGAAGAAGAAGCGCACATAGTGTCTCAGTGGTAGCCATATACACTTCCTAATGAACAGTGCACACCTGGGCAAGTGTCGAGGGGTCAGACTGCCGGCCAGACAGGTTGGCGCGACCGGCAAAGGGAGCAGCAGCAGCAGCAGCGGTGGTGGCGACGGCGGCCGCGGCTGATCAGGCAGTCCCATCTAGGTTAACAGCCGGAAGAGACAGTTTTAAAACACACGGTAATTAGACATCGCTTTAAAGAGAGTGGGTCAGTCAGCAGGACTGACCAGGCACATGACTGCCATCAATCAGTGGCAAAAAGAGAGAAAGAGATAAACTTGACTTCGTTTTGCCCCCAATGAACTTAACCTAACCTTGTGTGCAAATGAGAGCTGGTGTTTCATAGGATTCTGCACAAAGTAGGGCTCTGCCCTCCATCACATGTCTTCCTCTTCTAATCGGCCATTCGTTTGTAGAGTTAGTAATCGATTATTAATTGTTCTGCAAATGTTCACTCGAAGCACTAGTAAACGATCATCACCAGTTTGGTCATCATTACGATTAGTTCACCTGAACAAATGCAAATATGGGCTTAAATTAAACTTTGCACCAAACAGTGTAATATCTAGTCTAATATTTCTTTGGCCAGCTGCTGCTGTCGATCATGATAGTTTCAATATAGATCTATTAAGTGCAATATAGAGGATAAAATACATCAAGTAAAAAGTCGTAGAGGCATTACTTGAAAATGTCATTTGACAAACAAAAAGAGCTGAAAATGACACAACAAACAGTCTCTTTCCTGTTGCTCACTTTTATTTTCCTGTTTTCTTTGTCTTTTCTTTGTCCCCTCTTTGTCTTGTCTGCCAAACTCCTCTACAATGGCACTGCCGACGTTGAAACAAGCACTCTGGTGCAGACCAGGTCTGGCCCCGTCTCCGGTCTGATCACCGTTCGCAACGGCATCAATGTTAGCTGCTACCTGGGGGTGCCTTATGCTGAGCCCCCTCTAGGAGAGCGACGCTTTGCTGAGCCCATTGCAGTCAAGTCGTGGAAAAGTAAGTACCGTGCAGTGCATGTCCCTGGAGCTCTTCTCTTTAAAGCATCTTTTTCTGTGTCAACAATTTGCACATGTATTCCATGCAACAGCAGTTCAAACCAACAGCTCTAAAGTGCGTGTGTCAGCACACTATCTCAGTGGGAGTCATA